GGGGCGCGCGGAGCCTGCGCTGCGGCCGCTCTACTGCGCGGTGGCCTGCGCGCCCAGCGGCCGGGACACAGCCCACTCCTGCGTCACGCGCCCTCGCTCAGCCCACCTCCGGGAAGGGGAGGGAGGCTCGCGCGGGACACAGTCCCCATTTGGGGCAAGATGGGGCGGGGAGCAAACGTCCTCTAACGCAAACGGATGAAATCCCAGTGCTTAAAAGAGGCGAAGATCGCAAAACTTTCATTTAATAATTCTATAAATAGGGAGGAAGGTTCTGGCCTCCCGGGCGCGAANCAACGACAGCACAAAAATCGACAGGTTGCTTTTCCTGCCCTCCCTCTGGCACAGGGCAGAGCCACACCTTTGGGGACCCTACCTTGGCCACTTGCAGGGGCCGCTTCTGCTCCTTGCCCCCTTGCAGTCTGAACCCCCAGGGCGCCCCTCCGGTCATGGAAATGCAGATGAAATCCCCGGTGCCCATCCTGTCCCGTGCGCTGGGTGGCAGGCGGGGCTGGGAGCAAGCGAGGCCGGGNATGACGCGCTAACACAGGGGCTCCGAGAGCTCAGCTACGAAGGAGGTTAGATTCTCTCCATAAGTGTTTTGAGAATTGCCACACTGATGACTGCCACAGACAGAAGGAGCTAGAGTGGGTTTAATTACTATTTTTCTAAGCTTTCCTGTCTGCAGCCTGCAAGACTAATCGCATAAGAGGGAATAAAAGCAGAACATGTAATTTTTTAAAAACCCTCCTACTCTGAAAAGTGGTCTTCTGAACGGTGTCATCTCTACATCACACAGACACAGAGGAGGCTGGAGGAGAGGATTTCCCACGGAAACCTCATAGCTGCGTCTGCTGCATGGTTCCCAGGGTTTCGAGTTTAAATGTTTCATTTCCCTCCTTCCTCAGCCGGAGAGACACTTCTTGGACCTGAATGGAACAGCCAGCCAGCCACCTGACACACAGTGTCACCTAGAGGCTTCTTACTGTCACTGTCTCTCATCACCCTTTCTGCGTCTGGGTGGTCCAACATCACAGATGATCTCATATGTGGTCCAAAATAGTTTAGTGTTTTAAATCTACCAAGATTATACAAATGGAGTGTTTTTACTTTCCCATAATACTTTCATTTTCTGTCACATTCATCCACACGAAGGCACACTAAATACCGAGCTGGGAAAGTCCGTGGGTCCGTGTGGCCTGTGGCAGCAGTCACCGTGAGCCGACACTGCCGTTTCCGCAGTAGGAAGCACTTTACAGTGAGCACGTGCACAGCCCGCGCCCAGAGCCAACGGTGCCTGGACTCACCTGCTTTCACCTCAGAGTCCGGAGAGGACCCCCCCAGACCCCTGGGGGGCCCAGCGGGAGACACTTTGAAGGTCATGAGGACAAATACTGGAGCTTGAATCACTTCAGAAAAGTGAAATGACTTTACCAAAATCTCTCTTTTAAAAAAAGACTTTCACAAGTAACATCCTAAAGCATGAACTCTAAGAACAAAAGCAAACACAACTTGTTCCATTTGTCTTTCACTCTCTCGTCTCTTCTGCTCCCAACCAGCTCCCGTCCCCACAGCAGGAAATGCTCTTGGCAAGGTGAGCACTCGGGCCTTGCTTCCGTGCAGCACTTCACACTGTTCCCGTGGCCTCCCGAAACCGCTGTCCCTCAGCCTCTGGGGCGCAGCATCTCTGGGCGGGCCTCATGCCTCTCGGCTGCTCCTCTCGGGCCTCTGGCAGTTCTCACCTCTACTCACCCACTAACCGTTGCTCTGTGCCAGGGCTGCACCTTTCTATGGGTTCTTTCGTTCACCCCGCAGAACCTAACCTTCCCCCTCAATCTCAGATACCTTTCCTTAACTCTGGGCCAATAGGGCCAACTGCCAATTAAGCCTGTTTCTATGTGACTATGTCACAGAAACCTAAAACTCAATATATTCAAAGTCAAAGCCATTATTTGTCCCCAATTCTGCTTTACCTCCTGTGTTCCCCATCTCAGGATAACGACTAACGCATTGCCTTTCTCTTACGTCTGGTTCCCTTCGACTCTGACTTAAATTTAAATGTGGTGCTGGAGGCTGGAACTGGGGCAAAGCTGAAGATAACTGCGAAGACGCCAGTTCTGATGGAGTTAATGCCAACAGCTGTGTGCCTGCAGCCCTCTACTGTGCAAGAAAAATAACCCAGATTTGTATAAACTGCTGTAGGTCCAGTTTATTGTTCCTTGTGGCCAACACACTCCTAACAGCTACACTCAGTGAACAGCTTCTCCATCCAGCCAGTTCCTCAGGACAGAGAACCAGGGACTCAGAAGTTGCTATAACTTACTGGAGATTTACCCTGCCCGGAAACTGACATACAGTACTTTATTTATCCTCAAAGCAACCATGCTAGGTAGTTATTAGTGTCTCCTTTTACTGGTAATTAACTCAGCCTTAGATCCTAAGTGGAAGACTCGAGATTTGAACTTTTGCCTCCTGAATTTCAAACACGTGTTCTCGTCACTGCTCCGGTCTCCGGGCTTATGTACTTCCCTATGCTGGCCTCCTGCATCCGATCACTCAGTAACACTTACAGACCCAGCTTCTACACACGTCAGAGACCCGCCCGTCACTCCACGCCCACTGCTGTGGCCACCTCTGCCCCGGCCTGGGTTCCATCCTAACTCCAAGCTCTCCTTCAGCCTGGTTCCCTCCCCCACCCCACCCCATTCATTTCCAACTCCACGGGGACATTTCGGAAGTGCAGTATCCATCCTGTTTTCCCCCTTGAAGTCTTCAAGGGCTCTCAGGACAGTGTAACCCCTTCCCACAGAGCACTTCCTGCCTCCCGTTCCTCCCTTCTCCTGCCTGGAATCCTACGGTTCGGACGCACAGAACCGCCTTCAGTTTCTCTGACTTGCTTTTTTGCTCCACCTGCTACGGCTTTCCTCCCGGCCACATGCAGATCACCTGATGACCCCTACTCATCCTTCCAGCCTCAGGTTAGAGGTCACACTCTCCGGGGAGCCTGAGCCAGGTCAGGGGCTCCTCTGTGCTGCCATCACCCACACCATCCCTCTCATTCTATGGTCTCTTAGATTGTCTGACTGCTGTCAGACTAGGGGTTGTTTCTGACTGATTCAGCGTCGTATGCCCAAGTCTAATACATTCTTGACATCTAATTGGTGCTCAGTTATTATACATAGAGTAAAACAGTAGGTACGATTCCCCAGAATAAAGGTATAGAAAAGAGATCTAACGAGTTCCAATTTCTTTTTCTCCACTTAATTTGACTTGGGACAATATGAGGTAAAGGAAATTCCTGATTATACCACTTAGAGGCCACACAGGCAGGACAGGTAGTGGCTGCCTCCGTGAGTGTGCTCCCGTCCCACTGGGCTGCAGCTATTGCGTTAGGGGGCAAACTGGGCTCCAGGGCCCTGTCTCGGCTCAGCACACCCAGAGGAAGGCACAGGCCGGTCGGAGGCCATCTCCCTGACAACAGTCAAGGGTTTTCCTGCCCTTTGTCGTCCAGCTCTTTCTCTTTCCACATTTCAGGTTCCACGCTCCCTACTTTTCTTCCTTCTGAGTATGAGACTGGTAACAATTACCACACTGGGAACAAGGCCATCAGGTGTGAAAGATCCCTTCTCTGCAATCATTTAAAATGCCTTCAAAAAATGTCTCCATCTTTGATTAAAAGGTAGGGTGTTTTTTAAAAAAATCAAAACATGGAAGAAATGTTTGAGAAAGTCATCTGTTCTGCCCATTATCTATACAATTTCCAGGAAATGTATGAATAAAAAATTTGAAAGCTGTACATAAACATGCACAGAAGTCCACACCAGACTGACAATTTTACAATGTGATGTTATGTTACCATTACAGGAGAATTAATGGACACATGAAATACTTCAGAAACACTGCTTCTGATGGATCTCATTTATTAATGCATTTAAAAGATCTCAGAATCACCCAAATTTAGATCATCAATTTGAAACACTGTAAAATCTACAGCAAGTGTGTTGTTTTTCAAGAAATAAAGTGTTTTAACAACTGCAGGCAATTAAAATATATATATATGTGAAATCCAACAGAGCCACTGCACAGAAATTTCAAGTAAAATTATGTCTATTCCAACATTTTTTGTTAAGCAGTTTTTTGGTTTTTCTAAAGTCTGAGGGAGAGGTCACTGGGTTAGGTCACTGTAACTTTTATTCCTGTGAAGTACACACTCCAAGCTACACATGACAGAGCCTGACTTGGAGGGAAATTTTCAGTCCAAAGGAGTATCAGATAATGATCATTAAAACCAATTCCACTTCATTCTTTCCAGATCCACCTTGTCCTGCCTTCACAATAAATGAAATCCAGATGTTGGAACGATGCGAGACATTTTGTTTGAAGCCCAGCAAAGCAGAGACATGCTTTCTAGTTAGTACAACCATTCGTTTGAAAAACAAGCCCTTTAGTTTCTTTACAAAGTTGTTTTGGCTAAGGAAACTCTGGGATGTAAGTCATTAAAAATTACCACCCATCCTCAGGAGACAAGTAAACAGATACAAGATGCTACTCAGGTATTAAAATCACGAAGTGACAGTTGCAGACTTTTAAGTAACTTTTTTCCAAGACTGACAAGATTTAGAGTATGGTAAGCGTGTTTTTGTCACAGAATTAATGGAATAACACATAATCACAGCAATCCTCGAGATGCACCATGAGCTCGGGACAGCATCACTAGAGACCAGTGGAACAAAGCATGAGTAAGATTTTGAAGCGGAAGCGGACGGGCAACCACTGTCTTGGTAGATAAGGTACACAAGTATATTTTAGTCCAAGGACAACATCTCAACAACCCTGACCTAGCAAGAAACATCCTTTCTTTGGTTCTGAGTCCATTTGAGCCATGGCTGGAGCTAATTGCCTCTGAATTGTGTGTGCCCCTAAAAGGGGTGAAAAGGGTAACTTTTCAAGGACTATCTGCATCTGAAGGAAACTACATACAATTCTTGTTATCAAATAATGCATTACTGAGTACATAAAATATAAATTACAATATTCTTCAATGAATTTCAAAGAGTATGTCTGTGTGTAATGCAGGACTGTGCACGTGGAGCTGCTCCCCTAACAGAAAGATGAAGCAAATGCCACCTTTAATAAATACTCCGGGGTTTCCATCTTTAGGAATGACTAGTGTGCACTGATGCGCTATTCTCTTGGTCCCAGGCTCCTGGTAAAAAAGAATACTTTTTTTGGAACACAGGTAGTGCAAGGGGCAGTCTATGACTCAACACATCAAAACTAATAGGTGTAGCCAAGAATTGGTCTATACTCTTCAAGCTAAACGCTCCAGCATCATTCTTGCACCAACCACGCCGTTTGACTTAACAGGTCATAATGCAGACAAATATAATAATGTCTTTCATTGCCATTAGTCGTTTCAAAGAAAACTGTATACAATTCATGTTATCAGCTACAATATATCAGACACTAGAGATACAGGCTCCTGGTCCCTACCTTCCAGGTGTCAGAT